CTCTCTCTCTCTCTCTCTCTCTCTCTCTCTCTCTCTCTCTCTCTCTCTCTCTCTCTCTCTCTCTCTCTCTCTCTCTCTCTCTCTCTCTCTCTCTCTGTCCATGTTTAGTTTTCTTAGTAAGAGCGATAAATAATATCTCAGAAACATTGTGTAATCTTTTGTTTATGGTATTGTTGGATGCCGGATTGGGTTTTTTTAGTTTGGATTTTATGTAAGATTTATGCAAAAATCTGATTCAATGTGATTGAAATAATCAAAGAAAAAAATACTGATACCCTTCTTCTTCTTCTTTTTTTCTGAATTGTGATACGAATTGTGATATGTATTTTGGGTTTTTGTTGTTTATTAATGAAAAAGAAAAGAAAATTTTAGTTTTGGAAACCTAGTTTATTTTTTTGTTCTCGCTTGAACATAGAGAAAGAACAACATAATTACAATATATGTGCTCCTTTTGTTTTCTCTAATTAAATTGATAATTTCATGGACCTCTAGCAATTAGAGACAGAATGATGTTAGATTCGTTTCATGTATTCCTTAGTTTGCTTATTTAATAAACTTGTTCAAATAATGTTGTATGACGATCATTAATGTGACAGAATATTACTGGTGGAAGTGAAAAAACCCATTCTCAAAAGGAAGAACAAAATCTTATTTTTATAAGTAAAAAAAAAAAAAACAATTGCATTAACTGTAAAGTGAGGTAATTTTTTCTTTCTAAGCTGACCGATTGGAAATCATGACTATAAACATCATGTATCTTAAGGAGGCTTAGTTATACCCAATTTTAGAAGCAGGAAAGCGACAACCCTCTCTCGGCATAAAATCGCATACATAACCAAAAGACAAATTTATAGATTGAATCATTATATTCCACAATTTTTCCTATTCATAAGCTGAACTCCGTATTTATCTAGGCTGCATCATAATGACCAATTTCCTTTTGTGTTTTTAGATTGTATAATGACGAGTTTCCTTCACCAACTAAAAAGAGAAAGGAAAAAAGAACAAGTGACCAATTTCCTGATGACTGATGTATAGGCTTCCTTTATTCTTAAGGCTATGAATCTCATCCCATTTAACTAAATGAGTTTACCCTTTTGAGTTTAATATATATATATATATATATAATTTATTTTATCCTTTTGAGTCCTATTTTCCTCAAATACTATCCATCTGCTTCAAGCATTTTGAGTAGAGACATATAATAACACGGAAAGTACGTTAAAAGTATCCTTCATAGGAGCACTCCTTTCCCCAACAATGGCCTCTAGGCCCTCGGATGCCAGGGTGGTGAGGTGCTACAACATATGATGTCTGGAGTTCCATTCCTACAAAGGTCAACAATCATTTCCCAATAGGCAGGGCTTCGCATTTCCACAATTCCACCCGTACAACTTTCTTCTTCATTTTTTCTTTTCATAATGTTTAACTTTATTATAATTTCCTTTAATAGTTAAAACTAAATATATTTTATTCTTTTTTGGGTTAACTTAGGCTCCTGTAACTATTCTCAAAGAGCACCCGAAATCCACACATTAGGAGGCCGGATAAGCCGATGGAAATACAAGAACTGCATTTCCACAACATTAGTCCAAAGACTCCAAATCTTGTAATATAATGCTTGCCTCTTCTCTGATCTCCAGAATCTTGGTTTTCCTCTAGTTTATATTTTTGTGCCAATGTTCCACAGAACAACAGTTCATAAATCTCAAAGATAGAGTAGTACACTTGTCTAAAAAAAATAGCATTTTCCACACTTGAAACCAGACAATGAAAATTGTAACCAGGTAGTTCTAATACTGAGAAACTCACTTTTCGTTATTCTAGAGAAATAATGGCTGTGTCCTACTTTGCATTACACCATATGAGCGTGATAGCATTTATGCGGGATGATTGTCGTTTTTTTCAACCAAAATATAAAGGGGAATGATTTCATGTCACCGTGTCATTGTAATATAATGAAACAACACTTCTAGAAAACCATATTTAATAGATTTGTATAACCCCAAATGTTTCACACTCCCTTTGTCTCAATAATCAATACCAAAAAAATAAAAATTCCATTTGCACCCTAGATGTGGTTGCAATGAGTGCCCACTAACAATGAATCACGACCATCCATTTGGTGAATTTCAAGACTTAGGCCGTTACGAATTCAAAATCAATTTTTTCTTTTTTAGCATTGTTAGTCTATAATGATATTAAAGCTATTTGAAAAATTTTGGAAAGAAAAAAAATTCTTTTGAGGCCTCGATTTAAGCATCTCATTGAAATGGATGGTCTATATTAGTTGGGCTCAAAACACATCTTTTCGGGTGTGTTTTCAAATTTTGCATTTTTGTGAGTATTCATTAGATTGAAAAGAGTGTAGGGGTTAAATAGATGGGTCTAACATGGTTTTTAATGGTTGTTTCATTATATTACTATACAACCATTCCATGAAATCACTCCCCAAATACAAAATGGCGTGATGTCCTATCCGTTTCACCTGTTAATGAAGAACGTTGTTGGGTCAAAAAATTTCAAAACGCCCATCATCATGTGGTTTCTGTCATGATCATCTTATACCCTGGTGGTTGGATAGAAAATGACCAATTTGCCTGTGTGAGAAAACAAGTTCCAATCTGGAATTAGAGGTCCACAAGTTTACTGAGTTTACCATGTGCATTAGGTCAGAAAATGCTACATATATGTCTTTTTTCTTTTTGTGTTGTTTGTCATCTAATCTGATGAAATTTATTTTTTAACCATGACCATTGCTTCTACAATTTGCACATGGGCAATATTCATACACATGTGTGTACATACACGGATCATAGATACAAACATAAACACCTGTATATGCATATTGAACAGATGGAAACATGTGTACTTCACCAGGGACTCATGCATAATGTTGCATGCTACATCTTTGGTCTTACACTAAAAGCATGCATTTCAACTAAGTTTTGGAAGAAGCACTAGATTAGTTTACTAAGTTTTGGAAGAAGCACTAGATTAGTTTATTTAGTGTTGTTTGTTCTGCATGTGGGCTGTTCAAGCAATGACATTCATTTCAATATTGTTTCAGGAGTGCTATATGATTTGCACTTTCTATGTGGAATACAAACATAAACACCTGTATATGAATATTGAACAGATGGAAACATGTGTACTTCACCAGGGACTCATGCATAATGTTGCATTCTACATCTTTGGTCTTACACTAAAGCATGCATTTCAACTAAGGTTTGGAAGAGGCACTAGATTAGTTTATTTAGTGTTGTTTGTTCTGCACTTGGGCTGTTCTAGTAATGATATTCATTTCAATATTGTTTCAGGAGTGCCATATGATTTGAACTTTCTATGTGGAAGAACTCACTGAGTTGCGATTTAAAGTTTGATGAAGAGGATGTGGTTTAGGTCAGCTTACATTGAAGTTGATATGCCTTGGGAATTTAAAGGGAAGTGATCGCGATAATAAGCTGATCATCATTTGTAGAAGGTTGGTTCTTCTGCAAAGGAGGAATTCCTTTATTACATTATCGAAAAAGAAACATCTGCTACATTTTTTCAGCAGATTGATTGATTTTTTAAAGTCAATTATCACATAAGGAATCTGGACATGGGCACTTTGTCTCATCAGGATCTGCAAACCTACCAGAAAAAGGACATAATCTCCACACGCTTAGATCAGGATAATGTCATTATTGATGGGAAGAACACAAAGAAGAGGAGGAAGAGGAGGAATGAAGAGAGCAAAGGCAAAGATCCAAGCACTGACCTGGTGATCAAAAAATTTGGCGGTTGCAGTACCAGACTATGTGGGGATCTGTCGCCAACAAAGATAATAGAACGTACCACACAATATTTGGGAGCTGTCCAAACTGAATGTCAGCAACATATCTTGGATTCTGATCCCTTAATGAAGGAGATGCTTGTGAATAGAACAAAGAGGTCACGGAAGAGAAAGAAAGAATTTGATGGTCCACTCGAGAACAAGGCAAGCCTAGAGATTGACAAAAATTCATCTAAGACTGTAGAAGTTTATTCCGTGCAGATATTGAATACAAGTTCGGACAAATCAGTGAATACTAAGGATTGCATGGAGAACAGTGGTATTAAGAGTTCGAAAGCTGTTGTTACTTATGAGAGGAAGAAAAAGAAGAAGATAATGAATGGTATATTGGAGAGTTGTGTTCAATCATGCAGTGAGAAAAATATTTGGGGTTCCTCAAAATTGAAGAAGGAAAAGAAGCATGATGTATTGTCTTTGAACAGTTTGCAGTTGCCTGAGGATAAAGCTAGCAATGGTTTGCTGCAAAGTGCAGAAACTAATGTTAATCCAACGAAGGAGGATGAAGATGCAGAGAAAAATCATTCTTTGGGTGTCAAATCAGTAGTAGTGAATGATCCAATGAAGAAAAAAAAGAAGAAGAAGAAGAAAAAGAAGAAGTCAAAAGAACATGATGTATCAACTGAATTAAACCCTCTTCAGAACAACGTGAATTTTTTGTCAGCAGAAAGTGAACTAGTAGAAGGGGAGAAGTTCAAGAGGGCAATGGAAGACAGAATAACTGATTTTAAGTCTTCAGATACAAAGTATGTTGGCTTTTTGTCATCTAGAGAAGAAAATTGTCAAATATGGGAAACGAAGATGGAACAGGCAAAGAAGTATGGTGTTGATTATAAATTTGTAGAGGAGGACAATTTTCAGTCTTTGCCACTGGAAGCAGAAAGATATCCGATGAAGAAAGATGAAATCAACTATTCTCAACTGGCACATGAAAGTGATCAAATGAAGGAGGAGGAGAAGAAGAGGAGGAGGAGGAAGAAGTGTGAGATATTAACTGATTTTGGGTCTCTAGAAGAGAACCATAACAGCTCTTTGTCACATACAGCAGAAAGTGATGCAGTGAAGGAGAAGACTAAGCTGGATAACAAACAAGACATGTTAATGAAGATGGATCTGGCAAAGAAGGATGATTCTCATTATAAATTTATAAGGGAGGACAATGTTAGTTTTGCGTCATTTGAAGCAGAAAAAGCAGAAAGAGATCCAATGAAGCATAAAAATATCAACTCTTTGCAATTGGCAGATGAAAATTATCATATGAAGGAGGAAGATAACAAGAGGAGGAAGAAGTGTAAAAACAACGCTTTGTCACCTGCAGCAGAAATGGACCTATTGCAGGAAGAGAAAACAAAGCGGGAAACGAAAGAAGACATTTTAGCTGAATTTAAGCATCCAATGGAGAACAATATTGATCCTATAATATCTACCCTCAAAAGTGGTCAAATGAAGAAGGAGAAGAAGATGGCAAGGAACATATCAACTGATGATAACTCTCATGAGGAGAAGAATCTGAACTTTTCCAGCACTGCTGGAGAAAGTGATCCAATTAAGGAGAAGAAGAGGAGGAAGAAGAAGGAGGAAGAAGCCATGATTTTTTCTGAAGGTAATATGCCATCCCTTGCCGAATTGGAAAGGGATGCGATGGAGGAGGAGGAGAGAAAGAGGGAAGATAAAGAAAGTGATTCAATCAAGGAGAAGAGGAAGATGAAAAAGAAGAAGGGGAAAGAATCCATGATTTCCTTTGAATGTACTAAAGAACCCCATGCTGATCTGGAAAGTGAAGAAGTGAATGAGACAAAGAGGGAAGAGAAGCAAGCTATGATAACTGAATTTAAGCATCTGGATGACAACAATTATCTAGAAAGTGAGCGGATGATGGAGAAGAAGATGGAAAACAAACATGAAATAATTGATGATAGCTCTCGAGCGGAGAAATGTCTAAACTCTTCAACTCCTGCAGTAGAAATTGACTCAATCAAGGAGAAGAGGAAGAGGAGGAGGAAGAGTAAGAAGAAAGAAGAGAAGCAAGCTATGTTAACTGAATTTAAGCATCTGGATGACAACAATTACTTAGAAAGTGATTGGATAATGGAGAAGAAGATGGAAAACCAACATGAAATAATTGATGATAGCTCTCGAGGAGAGAATTGTCTGAACTCTTCAACTCCTGCAGTAGAAAGTGATTCAATCAAGGAGAAGAGGAAGAAGAAGAATAAGAAGAAAGAAGAGAAGCAAGCTATGTTAACTGAATTTAAGCATCTGGATGATAACAATTATCTAGAAAGTGATCGGATGATGGAGAAGAAGATGGAAAACCAACATGAAATAGTTGATGATTGCTCTCGAGCAGAGAATTGTCTGAACTCTTCAACTCCTGCTGTAGAAAGTGGCTCAATCAAGGAGAAGAGGAAGAAGAAGAGTAAGAAGAAAAAAGAGAAGCAAGCTATGTTAACTGAATTTAAGCATCTGGATGACATCAATTATCTAGAAAGTGATCGGATGATGGAGAAGAAGATGGAAAACCAACATGAAAGAATTGATGATAGCTCTCGAGCAGAGCATTGTCTGAACTCTTCAACTCCTGCAGTAGAAAGTGACTCAATCAAGGAGAAGAGGAAGAAGAAGAGTAAGAAGAATGGGGAAGAACTCATAATTTCCTCGGAAGGTAATAAACAACTACCTGCTGATTTGGAAGGTGATGCAGTGAAGGATGAGACAAAGAGGGAAGAGAAAAAATGCATGGCAACTGAATTTAAGTATCATGATGACCGCAAGATTGATCCTTTATTAACCTTAGAGAGTGATCCAATGATGCAGGAGAAGAAGGTGACAAGAAAACACGACATATCTACTGGTGGTAACTCGCAAGAGGAAGACCTGATTTCTTCAACACCTGCAGTAGAAGGTGATCAAATTAAGGAGGAGAAGAAGAAGAGGCGAAAGAAGAAGGAGAAAGAACCCTTGATTTCCTCCGAGGGCGGTGAACAATCACCTGCTGATTTGGAGAAGCATCTAGATTTACTTTCTAACAAAGTGTTAGGCACCTCTAAAATTTCACAAATGGGTCCCATGGAGAAGTCGTCTACTCAATATCCTCAAAATACAAAAGAGGAGAGTGAAAAGAAAGAGAAGCCTAATGTGAATCATGGCATGCCATCAATAGGAGCTCAACCCACCCCTCCAAAAAGAATTCTGATTGTCCTCGATGTGAATGGACTGCTTGCTGATACCTTCTTTGATATTGAGGGTAAAGCGCATCGTCAAGGTCGTAAACCAGATGGAAGGGTTGGCAGAAAATCAGGTGAGAATCAACTTTGAGATTTACTGTTTCCACTGAAATGATGGATGATGATGGAGAGGAAGTGGGGATTATCAGAACCTGATAATGGTTTCTCCAAATTCCACTGGATTATAGTACAAGTCCCCTTTATACTCACTGCTTCATCAACTACTGACATGATTTATTCTGTCTATACTTTTAGTTTTTAAGAGACCCTTCTGTGAAGATTTCATCAAGTTTTGCTTCGAAAGATTTGATGTGGGTGTCTGGTCATCTGCAACAATGTACTTCCTTCAGCCTTTTATTTTTGTTTTTTTTACCTCTTTCTGTAAAGATTGTGAAATACTTTAGAACTTGAGACATTTGCAGTGTAATGGCTGTGTGTTTTAATCATATCCAAATGAGACATGGCTGTTTCTTTTTCTATCTTTTCATTTTCTGTAAATGATAGTCGCAATTGTAATAGCTGTGTCTTTTAATCATATCCAAATGAGACATGGCTGTTTCTTTTTCTTTCTTTTCATTTTCTGTAAATGACACAAGGTTTCTCTGACGTGCAGGAAAAATGTGCAAGGAGTAGTCAACTTTTTACTTGGAGATATGGCAGGGAGGCTACTATTTTCCTGGGTAAGGAGAATGACCATCTTCAGTCTCTATTGAAAAAAGAGAAAAAAGGGAAAATGAACGCCTTCATTTTATGTTCTCTCTGACCTGACTGCTAATAATTGATTGTATGCGATTGTTACTGCACAGTGAATAGAGTACATTTATGCGGCACCTTGTTTACCATCTTTCCACTTATCCCTTTGCTTGTAAAAAGAGTTCCATGCAATAAGATGCTGACACTAGATTCATATGGCATAGATATATCACTCACATTACTGAAAATACAGTAACTTGAAAGGATGTATTTCTGCATTAATTTGCTCTCACAGTCATAATAAATAAAAGAAGACATGAAGCGCATTGGCATGGAAACTACCTGCTGCAATGTAAGAACCTTTATTCGCAACATATGCTGCTCTCACAATTGGAACAATCGAACAAATTAAAAAAGGCATAAGTACATTTTATATATACCACCTAATGCAACCTAATAACATCTAATCACGACATATATTTATATGTAAATTGTTTTCTATTGTGCTTGAATGCATTTAAAAGCAATTAGTCATGAAATTGGAAATCCTCACCAAAAAAAAGACCTACAGAAATTAGAAAGGATGACTTTTACACTCACTGAGATTCCCATCATGAATTTTTACCTTCTGTACCTGTATCTTCCTTGATATCTTGCTAGTGATTTGATGCCAAGCAACTTTTATTATTTCTAGTTTGCAGTACAATCATTTTCCAGGCAAAGTAAAGGTTGTTTGTATGTGCCATTTTGTACATTCCTTGCAGGACCAATCGATGTGTGGTGCAACAGGGTTGAATAGTTTGGAGAACAGACATAAGCCTTTGTTTGTTAAGGAACTGCAGAAATTATGGAAGAAAGAAAACCGAGATCTTCCATGGGAGGAGGGCAAGTACACACCATCAAACACACTTCTGATGGATGATTCTCCTTACAAAGCTCTTCGTAATCCTGTGAGACCATTTCCTTCTTCACCCATCCATTAGTGTGTGTATGTGTGTCAGAAAAATATCTTATGAGCTTGCCAGGCCGAACAGCCTGGATTGAAGGCAAAAGAGAACAACCAAATTGCGCACTAGATTATTGCTTCTTAATAGAATAAGGGTTTGATAAACCCAAAGTTTGCACACATGTAGGTTTCATCTAGATGCTAAAAAAATAAAATAGGTAGTTACTAAAATCTTGGGGTAAAATGGGTTCATCGTTCTTAATAGTCTAGATCTTCTCTTCTCCGATATGAATCGTTTGACGTATCTTGTGCTATATATATAGGATTATCTACAAAGAGACCCTTTTTTGTACATGGAGATCACAATCATTCTTGTCCCTTAAATTTCAAAATGGGTCGCTGCAAGAGTGTCATTGAATCGACACAAAGGTTCCCAAAAAATAATTCTCGGAGTTTGTGACTCACCCCAAGCCATCCAATTTGACATCAAATAAGTGAGAATGATTGTTACCTCTATGCACAAAAGATAAATAGTCTCTTTGTAGATAATTATATATATATATATGGGAAAAGATCCTGTGTGCCAAGGTGCATACTGCTACAGTAAACGCCCACGGCCCAGTTTGAATCTGGGTGGATCTGACTATCACGGATGTCCGATAGTGCTTGAATTTTAATTTTTTTTTTACAAATCCAAATCACTTGAAATTTTAGACGTGTTCTTCAAAAATTGGCGAATATATGAAAAATATATAAAAAAAAGTTTACATGAAATAAATTGATCAAAATACCCCCAAACCGTTTCGAGGGGTATTTTGATCAAAACAATTTCACGAATTACTTTTTTTTATGTTTTTATTAGGTGCGCCTTGATTAGAAGAACACGTCTAAAATTTCAAGTGATTTTCATTTGTAGAAACAAACTTAAAATTCAAACAGTATCGGACATTTGTGAGCGTCCGATCGGCCACAGAATGGCCCAGATTCACGTATGGGCGTACAGCAGTGACTCCCTATATATATATATAAAAATAAAAAACTCTTCCCAATGCCTATAGGCAAAAATGAACAGTGATTTCGTCTACCTTCATCACCATCCAAATTTCATCGCACGGTCACAGTTGTCTGGTAGTGTTTCAATTTTCATTTTTTTTTTTTACAAATCCAAATTACTTGAAATTTGGAGCATGTGTACTTCTTAGTGAGGTGTACCTAATAAAAATACGAAAAAAATAATTCATGAAATATAAATTGACCAAATACCCCCGAATATTTATAGGGGTATTTTGGTCAATTTATATTTTACAAATTATTTTTTTTCATATTTTATTAGGTGCGCTTCACTAAGATGTACGCATACTCTAAATTTCAGATTATTCCGATTAGTAAAACAAAAATGAAAATTGAAACACTACTGGATAACTGTGACAGTACGATGAAGTTTGGATGGTGATGAGGGTAGGCGAAATCACTGTTCATTTTC